GGGGGGGGGGGGGGGTCCCCCCCCTCCAGAGGGTCCTGGCAGTGGTGTAGCAAGAGGGGGACGCGTGCTACAGAGCGCCCGAATTAAGAACATCCACAGACGGGCATGGCTGTCTGAAGGGATGCCGGGGATGTCCTGTTTGATAAAACATCGGTGACCACTGAGGAGAGCTGAATCAGGGCATGGACATCTCCGGCATCCCTTCAGACGTACATATGCCTGCCTGGCCCTGGATGATCTGTACAAGCCTCAGTGCGGGCTCTGCAGGAGGCAGGGTGTCTCACCAGGATCAGAAGGATGCATGGAGACAGAGCAGGCAATCAGGTAGCAGGGGTTGGGGAGGGGGGCTTTGTATTATCTGTGAGTAGTGAGTATACTTCTGTTTTTAGTCTTAAGTCCACTGTGTTGCAAAGTCCAGAGTCTAGTGCTTTCCTATGTCCCGAGTCTAGTGCGTTCCTAAGGGCCTGTGCACACCCAGACGACACATCACCGCACGGCAATCGTGCACGATTCCGGGCGGTCAGGAGTCGCCTAGGTGTGCACTGATCATGCTGTGGGTGCCATTATTTTCTAATGGCACCCCAGTCATGCCAGGCGGATTGCACGGTTTCCCGCCGCGATTCCGCCCGTGCTTCCAAACATGATCCCGGCTAAAACAGCAGCGCGTCGTGTACATTTTTTCTGCGTTTGCCACGCGGATGTCACCCCATTGAAATCAATGGGGCCGCACGGCAATCGCTGCCTGCATTGTGCAGGACCACGCGTTCCCGGATCGCGTAGGCCTGCACCGGGCCTATGTCAAGTGTCAATTGCGTTCCTATGTCAAATGTCAATTGCGTTCCTATGTCCAGTGCATCCTAAGTCCAGTGCGTTCTAAGTCCAGTGTCCACAGTCTGTACTGGAGGGCAGGCTCATAAAGAGAACCTGTCACCTCCGAATGCTATCACACAGGAACTTGTTAACTCCTGTGTGATAGCAATAAAGTTAAGTGGAAAAAAAGTAAAAAATAAAAGAAATTAAAATGGAAAAAAAAAAAACTGATAAAAAGTAAAAAAAATAATACAAAAACATTATTAATAATAATAATCCGCAGAGCCCAACCTGAGACTCCGCACAGCCCACCTGAGATTCCCACAGGCTACCTAAGACCCCTCCAGCCCACCTGAAACTCTGCACAGCCCACCAGGCTACCTGAGACCCCGCTCAGCCCACCTGAGACCCCGCACAGCCCACGTGAGACCTCGCACAGCCCACCTGAGACCCCGCACAGCATACCTGAGACTCCACACAGCCATTCTGAGACTCCACACAGCCATCCTGAGACTCCACACAGCCATCCTGAGACTCCACACAGCCATCCTGAGACCCTGGAGACATCAGGCCACCACCCTGGAGCAACACAGAGTATGTAGCTTCATATTATTCTGCATTGCTATATAATGTATTCCTGGGATTTATAGTCCTCTATAGCTGGTGGTATTCTGCATTGCTGTATAATGTATTGCTATGTGGTGGGCCTCCATGTGGATGTCAGTGGATTTAGACCCACTTCTGTGCTCCCTTCTTTTGGCGCGGCAGCACCCCTCCTGAAGCACCATAGAGTGTAGGCTTGAAATCACTTAAGTCTCTCCTCTATGACAGATTAGAAAAATTGAAGCAAGCCCAGAAGTGGCTCCTAAATTACCAAAGCAGCACTGGAGAATGAGGGAATTTGAAGGTGGATCAGGAAGGGAAAACATAGGCAAGGGAACAGTTTGTCTAGAGCATTGAACTATGGATTGATTTGTGGTGGAGCTAATAAAAGACTTTCCCCCGGGCGTCTAATTTTTTACACAAATAGAGCTTTCTTTTGGTGCTATTTGATTGCCGCTAGTTTTTTTTCATTTCATTTTTTCATTTATATGAAAAAATTGTGGGGAAAAAATATTTTCTACTTTTTGTTATACAAAATATCAAATCAAATCAAATTTCTTCCTAAAGTTAGGCCAGAATTTATTCTGCTGAATGTTTTTGGTAAAAAAAAATCCCAATAAGTGTATAATAAGTGGTTTGTATGAATTCGTAGTCCCCCCCCCCCCCCCAGGAAAAACAATTATCTACGGCCCTGTCCCACGGTGTATGTTGAGATACTGAGATACAGACTTTGACAGTTCTCTCATCTTCATTCCCAACCACAGTCAGCAAAGGAGACTCTTGATTGAGAGCTCCTATCTCACTGCCTTTGCACTTTCCCAACACAAAACAAGGCTCCTCTTCCAGTTCTAGCGCCTGTGCTAAATTCTGTGAGAGTGTGCCCCCTTCCTCTGCAATCCTGTGACCTCCATGCTTCTGGAAAGTGCAGAGATAGTAAGATAAGAGCTGTCAATCAAGAATCTGTCTCCTTTGCAGATCATGGTCAGGAATGGAGAAGAGTGAATAGTCTAAGTCTAACTTTTTTCTACTCTACACAGAAGCATGGGATACATACATACACTGTGTGATTTAGGTCAGTGCTCCCCAACCTTTTTATCGCCGCGGACTGGTCAACGTTTGATAATTTTACCGTGGCCCGCTGAGGGGGGGACGTTGATTGTTTATATTTTAGATTGTTTTGATTTAATAATTGTAATTTAATTGTATTTAAACATGCCTTCAAAATAAAATACAGTTACACCAAAAAATGAAAGCATTGGAATTCTTCACCTATTCCACCACCGAAAAACTGGGCGAGATTACGTTAAAATGTGTGACCACATCACTGGTCACACATTCTAACGTAGTCTCAAACTGTGATAGAACGGAGGACTGTCTGTAATCATTTAATCAGAGAAATAGATTATAATAGGGAACATTACAGTGTAATATTCCCCATTATAATCCACATGTCTAATTACATGAAATAGCAGTACACAACAGAGAAATAGATTATAATAGGGAACATTACAGTGGTGTAATATTCCCCATTATAATCCACATGTCTAAATATATGAAGTATGAGATCCCCTCCCCCCGCTCGGACTCACCGTTCCAGGATAGCAGCCATGTCGATGTGTGCACTGCAGGGGGCGGGACGGGGCGTGTGACACACACACACGTCTCCTGTGACTCACCTCCCCTCCCGCCTCCTGTTACTATGGACGCGGCCGGGAGGGGAGGTGAGTCACAGGACCCGCCCCCTCACTGTGAAGCCCGTCGGCAGTGCGGGGCCCCGGTGTTCGAACACCGGGACCCTGCACTGCCCCATATTGCAGGACCGGACCGCACTGAGACTGTGCGGCCCGGTACCATTTGATCCGTGGACCGGTACCGGTACGCGGACCGGAGGTTGGGGAACACTGATTTAGGTGACTGAGCTATGTAAAATAAAAATGAGACCCCTTCTTTAAAGTGTATGTCAGGGCAAAAGAAAAAGAAAAAATATGCATTACATCTCTGCAATACATGCACATTTCCGTTTTATCCCTATAAGGACCCTGCAAGTATGGAAAATATCTGTTGATCTGCCAGTAATGCGCTCAGCACCACATAGCATTTTGTGGACTGAGTGGTGCCAGCTCTGTCCAGTTCCTGTTGCTAAACTACTGAATCACATCCCTTCGTTCTCATCTCCACAGCATAACCATGAATTGATCTGTGGACCCTAGTTAAGAACTTGGAGGGCACTAGAAGTGCAGATGGAACACAGAACAGCTTTGAATTTTTGACAAGATCAATAGGTATTGAACAGATTTAAAAACACTTTTAGTGGTATGTTTAACAGACCAGGGTCTATATACATTTTAATTATAAACAGCATAGTAAGGAATGCATGGCATGTAAGAAATCTTGGTTTATGTATATCACATTCTCAGGAAACCACTACTAAGTTACTGGAATGCTTGCTGGATGAATACAATGCTCATAATACATTTATTTACAAACAGTTAACTACTTACAGGGTTTGAATGCAAAACTGTGAAGAACTCAGGACTAGTGAGGAATTTCACCGGGGGAGAGTGAAGAAGCAGACTGAGCCTCGACCTTGAGGTAGAATGAGGAAGTGCGTTCTCTCTACGGAAGTCTAAAATCAAACCATCACCATCAAGTCAGTAAAATTAAAAGATGTTAAAGTCTCCTTTTTTACAACTTCCAAATTGTTTTCCATCATCTTTATCAAAGTGGACCTGAGCTTTGCCCCAACAGGGCAAAGCAACAGGCTCAGTTAATGACCATCACTCTCCCACCACTAGATTCATGGCAAGAAGAGGAATATCCAGTACTTCTGGGTATAGGGAGTGACTTACTCCTCCTTGCACCCATTTGATAGTACTGGTAGTCAGGCAACAAGCTATCACATGGGGGAAAAAGAGAGAACTTGTAGCCCTGTTTAAGCTCCAAGTCTTCCTAGTATGTGTAGCTGGCAAAGGGTACCTGGTTAAGGGAACCTGTCGATTTTTTTAAAGCAGATGTTAAGGCAGATATAAAATATCCCTGTTTAAACCAGTTATGTATTCATTTAAAGCTGAACACCCGCATAAGCAAAGATTGTCTAAATATTGCCACAAGAGACTTCTGAATTCTTACCGGAATCTTGGTGTGGTTTATGTATAATCCAGTGTGAAACTTCACCACTCCGTAGGAGCATTCTCTAATACAGACCAGGCACTCCTGCTCTCTCTCCTTGTGCAGGGTGACTGGTCTTGTATCCGCCCCCCCCCCCCCCCCACTCTCTCTCACTCACACCTCTGTGGGGGGGGG